GTTCTAGATGGAATATTATGTTTCCTGCTATTGAAGCTAAACATCCTCTTCAGGCTCCTTTAAATCTTAAGTACACTCTCAGGATAGAACCTCCCCACCCCCTGTGGCTCACAGTAACTTCTCCCTTAACTCCTTATGGTAATTAAGGGATATCCTGACATTTACAAAACACAGATAACCAATAGGACATAGTTATAAATAATGTTTATACTAAGAAGAGCAGGAATGAACTATCGCCAGTATATCTTCTTGTATTAACTGGCCATAAAATGAAGAAAAAGAGAAGAAACCAGGGTCTTTATAAACCACCCAACAGCACGCCACATGTAACATAACTTCCTCCTACTAGGCTCCACTTATTATAGTTTCCACTGTCTGGTATTGCCAAGATGGAAAACATGACTTTCCACATGACCTTTTGGAAAACCCAAACCATAGCAGCACCAATGAGCAAGAATTCCCAGGGTTAAGGACTTGCACTCAATGGTTATTGCATCCTCATGACATATGAGGCCTTCCTTGAACTAATTCCTATAATGCTATCAACTGTTTAAGGTAGGTTCCTTATCATGTTATAGAGGTAAGATCATTCTAACTTTTATTTGTTAAGTCTCTTTGATAAAGACACATAGTTAGAGAGTGACAGAAATAAATTAGTACCCAGGAGTGCCATTCATTCTATTGTCTATGCTTTAGACAATTCTACCAGTGTTTCTCAGTTCCTTCTGCTTTGGCACACATTCTCTGGCTTTCCAATCCTGAAATGAAAACTTGGGGTAATAGAAAATTACCCCTATTCATAGCTTAGTGCATTTCTCAATCCTCATCAGATAGTCTTCTATTTGCAGTAGATGGCTATTAATGCAAACAACCAGTTGATGCACAGAGAATAAGAGTGTGAGGAGTACTCAACTCTAAATGTAACATCTGTACCATACCCCTTCATTAAAAGGCTCAGTGATCATTGCAGAAGTGGTGGAAAGATTATAAGAACCAGAGGTAGTAGATAATGACAGCAAAAGTGTTTTCTGGGAATGAAAGTGCTGTTGCACACACAAACTCATAGCATCTGTCATAGCATGTGGAAACCCTGGGCATGATTAAGACAAAGTCCAAGCCTGGATGACAGTGGGAGTCACAAGTCCCACATCTAGCTGAGGAACTGTTGACAATTGCTGACAATGGGGAGAGGGGAGTTGGTTTTTCTCATAGATGCAGTCCCTCAGAGGCTGCCTATGCTCTAGTAGATAGTCCTACACTCATGCACATTCAGGCCACACTAGTTACTCAGCAGGTTAAAAAAGGAGAAAAGCACATGAAGATATGAAGTTATGAAATTGGATGAGGGTAGGGAAGGAATTGGAAGGGAAGGAGAGGGTAGATCTGATAATTTACTTTTTAAATTCTAAAAACCAAAAAAATTTAAAAATAGTGTAAACAAGGTATAAGAAATGTTTTTATAATATAATCATTTGCTTTTTATTCTGTCAATGCTTTGATACAACATTCTAGACAATATAACTCAGAATTCAGGTGTTTCCAGGCAAAACTCTCTGTGCAACAATGGAATTTAAAACCTAGCAAAAAGAAATGGTAATGACAAAAGGGCTTTCAAGGCCCTGCCTCTATCTGCAGAGCCAAAGATTGATGGCTCTTGGTGTAGTCACTTCCTCAGAGGTGTGTCCTAATGTAGGTTTAGGATCTATGCCTATGCCCAGGGGTCAGATCCACACCTATGTGAATACAGACACTACTATTTGGACCCAATGGGTTAAATAAAAGAAAGAGGAGAGATGGGGAGATGAGAAGAGAGACAGAGATAGATAGATAGATAGATAGATAGATAGATAATAGATAGATAGATAGATAGATAGATAGATAGATAGATAGATGAGTAAAGAAAGAAGAAAATGAAGTTGGGAAAGGTTATTTGGGAATAGGAAGAGATAGGGGCAGATATGATCAATATATTGATTCCATGTATGAAATTTATAAAAAAATTAAAATATTTTTAAATGTTTTGTTCATCAGATGATACTGATGTGGGGATGTGGCTCAGATAAAGAGTTTCACAGACATGAAGTTTGATTAGAGGTCTTAAGAGAAGACAGAGGCACATTCTGTGGACACAGCTGCATCTGCCATTTTGTGTTTCTGCCACCTTCATGTTTCCATCTGTTCCATCTCCTTGGCAATAACTGACAGCTCAACAAGGGTCCTAAATGTTCTAAGCAGCAGGAAGTCATTCTCCTTCTTACACTTAGAGAATATGTCCCTCTGGGTAAACAAGATCCAATGTTTATTTCAGGCGTATTTACTATTAACAAAATACAAGCTTGTGTCACCCTAAACAATGTTCACCCACTGTAAAAATGGAATAAGAGATTTAAGTTAACTAGAAACTCTACTCTGCAAAGTGAATCTCTCTCAAGGGGACATGGCTCAGTGGGTAAAGTGTTGTTTTGCAAGTTTGAGGATTCATTCCATTCCCACAACCTATGTAAGAAAGCCAGGTGTCAGGAGGCAGAGATGGGAAGATTCTTGGGACAAGCTGGCCAGCCAGCTTCAACTACTTGATGAGCTAAAAGGCCAATGATACACACTGTCCTAAAAAATTCACAGATTAATAGTTCCTGAGGAATGAATGACACTTGTGGTTAGTTAGTCCCTGGCTTCCACTAGTGCATACATGGACATGTACATACATACACACGTGTACCTGCATTCTTATTCCTCCCCCCCTCTCTCTCACACACACTCACACACTGCAACTCTCATTTAGAGACCATCTGGACCCAACAAACTCCTTAGAAGAGAGTTGCTAATATGTGGTCATCCCCTCCCATCCCCTCCTTCCTCTGCACACCCCTGGCTCTGGAACCACTTTCTTATTTTCTAATTTGCAACATAACATTTTATTGTCTACATAATAGTGAAAACAAATAAGGTTTGCTTTTCTCTACCTGACTTATTTCATGTAACATAATGAGCTCCAGTTCTATCCATGCTATGGGAAAGGACAGAATCTCATTCTTTTTATTAACAGTTGCATACCATCCTGGTGTATACACCACTTCTTCTTTCTCTACCAGTGGACAGATGCTTAGGTTGTCAGTAGCTAGGCTTCTATGCACAGTGCTGCAGTGAGGGTGCAGACTTCATCAGTATGCTGACTTCAGTGTGTTTAAATATACAAGGAGTACTGGCTTTCTAAGATGCATGCATTACAGTTCTGTTTCTAGATTCTGATGAATCGACATAATTTTTCGCCATGGTTATATGAGTTGCCACTCCCAGGAACAGAATGTAATAATCTTTCCCTTTCAACACCTTTGGCATATGTATTACTCCTCCCCTCCCTTTTTATGACTACTCCAAAGTGTGATGATATTTTGTTATGATTTTGATGATTATTTTCCTGATTATTGGTGGTGCTGACATTTTCTGATATGGTGGTTGGCCATTTGTATGTCCTTTTTGAAAAACATTTGTGTTTGCTACTCACATGTTCAAATGTGAGTATCAAATGAGTCAATTGCATACATCTTTCCCTTTGCATAGATCCTATCTTCAGTCTGCCCATTAATTCCTCTGTTTACAAAATCATTTCAGCTTGAGGTCACTTACTTTGGCCATATTGCTTTTGATGTTGGGTTTATTTTATTTTATTTTATTTTATTTTATTTTTGGTTTTTCGAGACAGGGTTTCACTGTGTAGCTTTGGAGCCTATCCTGGCACTCGCTTTGGAGACCAGGCTGGCCTCGAACTCACAGAGATCTGCCTGCCTCTGCCTCTGCCTCCCAAGTGCTGGGATTAAAGGCGTGCACCACCAATGCCCAGCGATGTTGGGATTTATATAGAAGAAATTGTACTCTTTCTCTAGACTACACTGATTCAATTAAATTTGATAATCATCTGTTGTATGTGAATGAGGAATTTCTTTCACCAAAGATAAACAGAAAAAAAGAGAGGGTTTCCAGTGATGAACCTCAAAACAGGGAAAGGTAAAGATGCTAGTTAGCCAGCCACCAACTCACAACTGCCTGAAGGTTACCTCTGAGGAATCAGGTAAGGAAATTCAAATCCCAAGATTAATAAGTTTATAGTTGAAGCCAAAAGCATAACATGTTTAAATTTTAGGACTTTGAAATCTATTGTTATAAAGATTTTAGAAATATAGCAAAAACATCTATTAGGAAATACTGACATCTTTCAGATTCCAAATTATATGTAGATGATGATGAAAAACATATATTCATAAGAAGCCAGCTGCAAACAGTGGGTGAGAGTATGTATTTCCATAGCAATGTGGACAATAGGATCCTTTGAGCATCTACTGTCTCCTCTTCAGTGTTCACACTTTCAAACTGGCACATGGCTCAGAGCAAGGTGTTATTTGGTGTTATTTGACTTTTCAGGTTAGAAAGGAAACTTAATTAATGTCATGATTTATTCATTCCACAGAATACAATGAAACAGAGCTAGGGTAGGAATCAAACCATTACCCCAAATCTGTCCAAAAAAACTGTCAAAAAAGTTAGACATTATTTGACTTATGGTCATATTATTATGGGCATATTATATAGCCTTCTTATGGGCAAATATCTCTCAACATTGTCTTATTTTTAATGGTATTTTCTCAATTTTTAAAATGACAGTTTATGTGTGCAAAAACTATGTTAAGTATCCCGTAACAAGCTTTAACTGGTAAGTTCTTTAGTGAAAGGCAAAATAGGAGAACAGGGCTTTATCCTTCAGGTGGGAGTCATGGAGGAAATGTGGTTTCATTAACTCTTTGTAAAAGTGGAATCAAAAGGCAGAAGTGAGGAAACCACCATGACCTAAGCACTTGTGATATGTATAGCAAAATACCATAGGGCCAGCTGCTGTTTGCTGTGCTGAGCAGACAGTGGCCCCACAGGAGGTACACTGTTGTTCTTTTATTCTATGACTTTCCCGTGTTTAGACAGTTATTGCCAATTTCTTCAAAACTGCAGAAATCCTCTCTGTTGTCAAACAAAGATCCTTTAGCAAATCCCTTTATGCTGGAGAGAAAAACTCATGGGAAAATTATGCGTTAAAAAGTGTAACTTGCATTCTACAGACATCGTGACTCTCTGATTATCAGACTTCACAGAATTTGAGCAAGAAGCAAATTCTTTGGAAAGAACTTTGGGATGGCCATGCCATCACATGGCCCTTAAAATACAAATGCACACAAAGCCGGTCTTTCTTCTGGCAAAAGCCATGCATAAGAAATCGATGGATGAAAATTTAGTTGGAATGTGACCTCACAGTGAAGACATCTTCCTTTTTATCTCCAGTTTGTGATTTTTTGCAAACAGAATGAACCATTTCACAACAGGAAGCCACTGGGGATAAAAAAGAACAGGAAATATGTTCAAACGAATTAAGCTTGTTAATTCATATGCTTTGACTGGCACATTTTTGCTTTTTCCTCTTGAAATATACAGTCTTTGTTTATAGCTGTCGCAGAGAATCGGGGGAAATGAGTGCCTGGTGTGCATGAGAGATCCATCATGTAATTACCTGGAGGAAATTAAAATGATACATACTGTAGTAAGGCAAATGGAATGTTGAACAATTACTCAGGAAATCTATTGGCCAAGGTACAGGGCATTATTCCTCAGACATTCAGGTCTTAGAGATTTGCTACCCACAGAGATGTGAAAAACTCCCTTGCCTGTTGAACCCCATGGGAGGGCCCTGCAGTTCTTCATGTTCCTGCTCTGCATAAAGGAACTGGGTGGCAAGAAGCATGCATCACCGAAGCACCGCGGGAGGGTATCAGTGTTCCCACTAATAAGAACAAATGGAACCTTGGCATCCGTAAACAAAGCATGGAAGGCTTTTAATTTTTCTCAGCTTTTACAATCAACTAAAAGTTACTAGGGCATTTTCATGGGGTTAATCACTTGCTACTTTGATCCAAACAAAGTTTTTCCAGGCATTATTCACAAAACATTTGTCAGCCTGGCAGTCACTGATGAACAAACTCAAACGTGAATGAACATTTGCTCTTTCAAGGTCCTGCTACAAAGGCGCAAATCTTGTCACAGAATTAGAAAACAAAAAGAAAATTAAAACAAAACAGGGAAGGAACTTAGCACCCCTTGGGATACATATAAATTAGAATATATGAATATATGGAGGCATATATATATGCTAATCAGAAGTTAAATATAATTACCTGCATAAACTCTGCATTTAAAAACTTGCAGAGTTTGGAAATAACTGCAATTCCAACATTTTATGAAGAGTGGGTTTGTAGCTGCCACTGACTCAGGACCTTCTTCTTCACTACGTGGTAGATGATGTCCAGGGAAACAAAGGGGTCATGTCATGCAATTTAAATTTTTCACATCCCTATCTTGACTGTCTAATCACTGATAGACATCAGCTAGCACCTAGAATATGTGCACGTAAATTTCCGACTCATCAACATAAAGAACAATGTTAATTTCAAGTATAGCTAAGTATGGAATTTTAGTGAGGATATTTCAACTTGATGAAATGACACTAGACATTTGGATGTAGGGCTGATATTTCTAAATGATAACTGCATTAGTTATTTTTTTTTAGTTAGAAACATTTATACTAGGGAAAATACTGATGTATTTTACATGATTTTCCATGTGTATTTCTTACAGGTTAAAGAATGCATATTAATGTTCTTTCCCTGTTAGGCTAATGGAATGAATGTTTTGGGTGTTGGGAGTATATAAGATAAAACAGTATAAAGTAATTCTTTTTGGAATATGTGATTTTCCTCAAAAACTATAAACTTTCTGTTGTTGGGCTTTTTCCTTCTATAAAATAGCATTTGGATACAGACACAAGTTTGTGCAAGAGGTCAGAGACTAAGGATAGTGGATAGAGGGGATGATGTTGCATGTTGGCTACTTTCTATAGATTGTTCCTAGAGATAACATTTTTAAGAAGACTTTTTAATGTGTATGTGTAACTGTGTGCATGCATGTCTGTGCACCATGTATGTTCCAAATGACTTCAGAGACCAGAAGATGGCATACAGTGGGTTTTGGAAGCAGACTGTCTGGGACTTCTAAAAGAGCAGTAAGTGCTCTTAACTGCTGAACCATCTCTCTAGCCCTCTTTTCAGCTTTATATGTATGTGTGTGTCCCTGGGTGCATGTATATGTGCTAAATGTGTGCACGTGTCCATGGGGTCCTGAAGAGGGCATCGTCAGATCCCTTTAAGCTAGAGCTGCAAGCAGTAAGGAGCTATCTCATATGGGGAAATAAGCTCAGGTATTCTGCAAGTACAGCAAGCAATCTTAACCACTCTTTGACCTTTCTAGTCCCTAAAGCTAATGCTTTCAAAAAGTTGTTTTGTTAACATTGTCCAAGATTAGTATATTCAGGCGAAGAAAATTGAGATGTACTCTTGTGGCCTCAGGGAACGGGTGGCAAAGAAGTGTATTTTCTACCAAAACCCAAAAGATCTGATAAGCCAATTATGTGCTACTTGTGAAGACTGTCTGGATTCTAGTTATTGATTCTAAAAAAAATAACATAAATAATTGAAATTAATGTTAAAAGAGGCTGATGGTACTAGCTTGGACTTTTTCTTAAGCTTTTCTAACAACATGTCATGTAATTTAAAGTTTTCACATCCCCATCTTCTTGGAAAAGAGAAGAATAACAAAGTCTTGTCCCCCAGTATCTAAGCTAGTAAAGTATGAACAGCAACAGAAAACAAATTGCCTGAACTCTTTCCGTGGAACCTCACTAGACCAAGCCCCTTCTCAGGCCTTCAGCAAGATAGTAGCACGGGACACAGGTTTCTAATAACTCTCTTTAAAATGTAGGAGAAAGGGCAAATTAAATTGCAAATGTTTAAGAAAGACAAGAACATTCTGACTTTTTTTGAAGAAAATCGATAGTTGTCAATTGAAAAGGTTGTATGAGATTAAAATAATAAACTGAAAATGGACATGCAAGCTAAAAAGAAAG